ATAGTTAAAAATAACGCCAATGGCAATCTGGAGAGGAATAGAAGCACCAAAAAAAAAAAAAAAAAAAAATTAAATCCTGCAGAAGGAGCATAAATGAAGGAATGTCAGTTAATCAGCTCACTTTTTACCTCCTCTTGTCTCTTATAGGAATGTCAGGTTGTTTCTTAGCAACAGTTAGTAATATTTACTTCTTTCTCTTCTACCCTAAGTCAATAAAACACAGCACCTCAACCCCTACTTTGCCCCACAGTTGCCAAAGCTGATGTCCCAAGTAGTATTTCTGGTTTGGAAAATTTTGGAGGAAATTTGATAGCTAAAAAAATCCCCCTGAAAGAAGGAAACTTGGAAGCTTTGGCTAGATTTTAAATTGATGCTACAGATGGGATTGGGAGGAGAGCTAGCAGGTTCAGGTCACCTCCTAAGGATTAGAACGCTGGTTTGGCAATGCAACAGACTCAAGGTCAAGCCCTACCCTAGCCGTTGATCTTGGACAGATTTAGTTTCCCTTTTTATAAAATGAAACTATTACTAGGATCTACCTCATGAACTGTTGGCAGGATTAAATGAGCAAATTCAGGTAAAGCTCTTTGTATAATATCAGAAAATAGTAAATATTCAGCAAATGTTAGCTATGATTATTGGTATGGATTTATGTCATCACCAAGGCCATAGAATGATTCCATTTATCACCCATTCCTGTACCTTACTATTCTCCCACATTCATGTGTTAGTCCTGGAGACATAATTTTTCATTCCTTTATTCAGCAAATTTAACTAAAGCTCTGGATAGAAATAATACATTGAGGGAATTATGCTGCCTAATATGTAGTTAAATTGGTCAACATCTTGAACTCTACCTCAGAGTTGCAACTTTAGGAAATTCTCTGCTGTGGGTAATTAATCATAAGGGGAAAGGATCTGACTAATACAGTTTTGTTTTATTATAAAATAAATTTACTTTTCTTCTCAAATTTCAGGATATTTATTTCATTTAGTTGAGTATTTTTTGTTTTCTAACTAATGTGGCATTCGAACAAGTATAATACTCTGAACAGACTAATGTATGGATTTTAACTCTCTTGAAGGGGCAAACCTCCCAACTACATGAGAATAATAGGCTTTTGCAGTTACATAAAGATGATATTCTGATAAAGACAAATAATGGATAAATGAGTTAACTGCTAGTGAAAAGATTTTCAAATTATATTTTATTAGGTAATTTATCATCTCACAATGGCCATTTGGATATGCAAATATATAAATATATGCAATTTTGTAAAAGCTAAAAAGCAGTAGTTTAGCATATCTAGTTGAATTCATATCACTAAAAATCTTACCAACACATTTATTGTAAAAAATCAGTCAAATTGTTCAACAAGTTTATAAAAAATACTGGGTATGTATATAAACATTTTCAAGCTTGCTTTAGAAAACAGAGTGCAATTTCTATCCATGTGCTCATTGTAACTTCAAAGGTAATTCAAAGGGAGAATGAAGAAGGTAGCATTGCTTTGTAAAGCAGCATTAATTAATACTGACTTACCCTGGGACTGCATGAAAGATCCTTTGTTATCACATATGGTGAAAATATTGAAAATTAATCCTCCATTTCTATGCATAAAACATATAAAATAAGACTATTTTTCAGAATAACTAGTTATCATGAAAACTGCATTCATTCTTCAGATATTACTGACAGCCCACATTGTTTAACAAATATTTATAATACTTGAAATTTAAAAGAAACCCACGAAACCTATTCTCCCAATACATTCACTGAATGCAGATTAAAGTGAGCACATTCATTTTGATTGTGCCCTTTATTTGTGTACTTTAAAATGACTACAATATAGTGCATTTATATTTTCAAGTGGTATCAAAATTAAGATGACTGATCTATGCAAATCCATCAGCCTGTACCTCTAGTAACAGTTGTCAAATGCAAAACAAAGAAAAAAAGAAAAGCCCTGAGTCAGTATTTTTTTGCAAAAGTAATGAAAAAGGATGCAGTGAAGTCATTTTACATAACTTATGAAATGGCTAAGGGTCTCCAGTATTCATTTGTTTCCATTTTGATTGAAGAGAGGTATAGCTTTTGTTTAGTTTATCCAATTTAGATCATTTCTTAATAGTCAATTTCATTTAAATCCTCAGAATATCCTGATGATTGTTGAGCTGTATCTTCCATTTCTGTTGAGAAAGACAGACAGTACAGTGTTTCCTATTTTTATCACAGAAAATGCATTTAATTTACATTTCTATAATTTGAAATTATATGGCAAAATCTTTTCCAATTAAGTGTATGTAACTGGAAAAAATATTATTTACCTGAACAGGGTCCGGCCTGAAATTTAACATCATCAATGGCAATATCACTTCTTATCGACACTCCCCGAGTGGCTTCAAAAATTATCTAAAAAATATGAAGTTTGAATTTAGAAAGTCATCCGGATTAAATGATGCTGGTTAGGGCAAATCTAGGCTTCATGGATTTGGAAGCTTAGATAGCTCTCAGAGCCCCTTTAAAGAAAAGTATACATGATTACAAATTCAAATTTAGGTACAAAAAGACATTTATTTGGTATTTAAAGAAATTCATAATAAGTTACTGGAGTCTTGGAGACTCAGATCTCTTTCTTTGGATATCTCTTTAGAGATGCTTATCTAGAAATATTTCTTGTGCCGACTGGTTTCCTTCCCCCCATTAGAACACTACTCCCAGCATCCACAGGGCCTGTGAAAGTGAGAGGCCTAGAAGCATCAATTTCCTTAGGCTCTCTATAATAAATCTACCTTGGATACTGCTGCCAGATGGAAACATTTAATTTGACTGATGAGACCCATATATGAAGAGAAAAGCATAATAATGAAATTTACCAAAAGCTAATGGCTGACTTGTCATTAAATACCATAACGTCAAAAACACAGCCCAGGGAGGCAAGGAAATCAGTTTCATAATGTTAGGGTCTGAAAAGAAAATAACTGATCAAGTATTCTTGTTCTAGGTAAAACAGATTGCCAGGTTTAAGGCTGGCCTAACAATAATAAACTTCCAAATACTACAGGGAGTCTTGTGCGTGGTGAAAATTATCCAGAAGACATATTTGCTCTACCCATTTTATGAGCAAATGACTTCTCACTGGACTAGATTATGATTTAAATAAAAAAGAAAGCCCTTAAACCAATTTCATTTAAACTACCCCAAATTAAATAAGAATATAAATTGAATAATTAATACATTTATGAAATTATCTTGCAATTAGTGACTAAGAAGCTTTAATGATATACATGTGGCAAAATAAAATTAATAAAAATTCTAAGGGTATAAACTTGGATGGTTACTTTTTGGTGTTAATTTGACTGGGCTAAGGACATCCAAATAGCTGGTGAAGCATTTCTGGTTATGTCTATGAGGCTGTTTCTGGAAAAGACTGGCATTTGAATCAATGAGGTAAGAAAGATCTGCCCTCAACCAACATAGGTGGGCACCATTCAATCTGTTGAGGGCCCAGATAGAACAAAATTCACTGTCTCTTTTGGAACTAGGGCACCCTTCTTCACTTGCCTTTGGTTATCAGAACTCCAGCCTCTCAGGCTTTCAGCATTTGAGACTTAGACCAGTGGTCTTCCCAGACTTGCAGGCCTTCAGCCTCACACTAAGAGTTATACAGTGGCACCCCAGTTCCCAGGCCTACAGGCTTGGACTAATCTATGGTACTGATTTTCCTAGTTCTCCAGCTTGCTTGACATATCATGGGAATTCTCAGCTTCCATAATTTCACAAGCTAATTCCTATAGTAAATCCTTATCTGTCTTTTCATCTGTCCATCTGTCCATCTGTCCATCCATCCATCTATCCATCCATCTAGCCAGCCTATTGGTTCTGTTTCTCTGGAAAACACTGATTAATACACAACCCTAAACAAAAATCAAAATAAATAGCAAGAAAAGAGGAAAACATATCCTAACCCATCCAGGTGGGAGGATATATGAATATGTTAACAAACATTTTGGTTTTAGAACAACAATAAAATCTCTTTTTTAACCCCAAAGTCTGCAATGGAAAGTAATAGAAAAATTCTGAATAGAAATATTTTGAATAATCTGTGATTTGGCCAGACACTTGATTTCACACAACTTTCTCCTTTAAATGTCTTATACCTTAGTGGTGCCCATTTTACAGCAGTATAGTCTACCCACTGTATTGTAGATATGTGGCAACATATCTTTTTTTCTACATTGATGTGATTCTTTTGGCTTATTTTCATGCTTTTGGATTTACCAAATATACCCTGAAGTAGCTGATGAACAATTATTTATTTCTAGAATAAACACAACAAATATAAGATTAAATAAGAAAGTATGTTCTTGGTTCCCAAACTATTGGCTGAGACACTCAAGTGCATTTACAGGGGTACTGTGGGATAGCTTGAAATTTCAAGAGAAACACAGCAATATGAAAACATCTAGAAGACATTATGTGATCAACCAGTTCAGGATTATTTAAATTTCAACATTAGGTTGACCTATATTCCTTAAAAAAAAAAAAAGAACTATACACCTTTTGATAACATTAAATTAATTAATTAATTAGGTACTAGAGATTGAACCAGGTGTAGTCTACCACTGAACTACAACCCTAGTCCTTTTTATTTTTTATTTTGAGACAAGGTCTTGGCTAAGGGGCCCTGAACTTGTGATCCTCCTGTCTCAGCCTCCCTCAGAGCTGGGATTACAAGCATATGGCACCATGCCCAGCTAACATCTTTATAAAGTTGTTTTTTGAGTTGCTATAATTAAAAGCCAGTACCAGGTAAAAATCAGTGCAGAACATTACATGAGGGTGGTGTATCCAACCTATTTCCAAAGTCTGAGAAGCTGTGTAGTGCCCAACAGGTATATGTAGTCTATTAGTAAATAATCATGGTCATTTAAGAATTAGATTAAAATTTTTTCTTTTAGTGTATCATTTTTTCAATGGCTGATAAGTCATTAGGACAAAAACACTTATCAAGTTGTTTGGACCTAACACTTAATAAATGGAACTAGCTATTTCTTTTAGTCTAGGAGCTCCAGAGAAAAATCACTAAGACTAAGTGAATCATGAAGTTTGGAGATGTGGCTCTTAGCTGAGTACCCAGCACACATTTGCATTCCTAGTAAATGTCCAGCAGTATGAATAATGGTATAATTGATGTAAATACTTCAGTGAGCTGAGAATTTATGTAATATTTTCTTTCAGTGACATCAAAATCTAAGAAAGCAAGGAAGAGAATACCTAAAAGCAGAAAGGAAAGGACAAGAAAGGGAATCAAAAGGAAATAGAATGATTTTGTGTTTTTGATCAATAGTGAGTCAGGTTTCTGCTTAGCACTTCAATAAATCCCTTAGGAAGGAAAATGATTGAAATTTTGCTATTTGATGTATTCCTCCCAGAAGGATAATCTGATGATTGGCATATATTAAGAGGACACCCACATATTTTCCCCATAGGATCAGCCTCAAATGGCATCAACACTACAGGATTCCAAGACCCATGTACACTTGCTCACCTCCACTGACAATGGACATATTTACTTCCCTTGCTGTGTTTTCTTCCCTGAACTCCAGTCTCATATTTATCGCTCACTTGACACATCCACTTCAATTTCTTTTTTTTTTACCCATTAACTTTATTGGTACATTTTAGGTATA